TTTGGTTATAGCACCTTTAAGTGTCTTTCGCATAAAACACAAGTGACGTCTTCTACAAGCTCGGATCAAACCTTGTTATGCAAACAAGACTCACAAAGTGCGAAAGATAAACTGAGAAAAGAAAAAGAAGTTGCTGAAGCCATTGCTTACAAGTCCTCGGCAACATGATTATTTGGTTATAGCACAGTCACGATAAGGTTTTCTATCTCAGTTTTTTACACGATCAAGCTCTTTGCAAGTTACTACAAGTTTCCAAAGAAAACATTTAACTGGAACCTTTCAATTATGGTCATATTAAATAAATGTAAAAATGTTTCAAGAACTTCGTTTTTATGCTATAGTTTCTATACAGAAAAAAGTAAGGAGATCAACACAAAGAAGGACCGATTAATACAGTGAATACAATGAATATATACATTAAAGCTATTAACGTTTAAATTGAAGATGCTGGGAAGAAGAGTATACAAATAGGATCTTACTTAAGAAAACAGAATGGTAACATATAAGAAAAACAGGACGTCTTGTTCCTCATTAGTGTTTATTGGTAGAAGTAGGTTTAGCCTTAGGCTTCTTGACGATCAGAACGGAACAATGTGCGTGATGAGCTAAATAGTCACTCACGCTACCCAAAAACACCCTCTTGACAGCTCCATAACCATGGCTACCAAGGACAAGAACACATGCATGATGTCTCTCCAAGGGACGACTGGATTTGAGATTTGCGAAGAAAGAATCGTGTTCAAGATCAGGAATGGGTACGTGTTCGTCGGTTATGTGGTGGGATCTACGAGTAGGAATAAAAATGACCACTAATTCAATATTCACAATAATCACAAGTGTTTATAGCATTACGTAAGGAGAGACATTAGGAATTAGTTAATAAGTTTTTGAATCCATTCTTTTTACACGCCTCCTCAAAACAGAGAGATTCTTATGACCACAATCTTGTTGCATAACTCACCAAAGCGGGTTCGAACAAGTGGTTTGTCAAATGCATCAGACATGTAAGATCATCTCAGTATATGTCAGCCACTGAGAAATACGACATACATATTGGTAGAAACGCAGTCGCCAACCTCACCGGCACAATCCACATTCGAATATGCATGATGTGACAAGGGATTTGAACGTTTAAAGTATATGCCATGAGAAGATGACTATAGTTGCAAACTTGCAGATGCTCAAACACTTAACTAGGCCTAGAGGGTCTGGCCCATTTGTTTTCAACCTAAAGTCCTGATTATATCTCATATCCCAAATTCAGATTATTCATTAGCTGTGTTTTCCATGTGTTCATTAGAATGACACTATATTTTATCAATCGAAAATAGCTTGAAGCTTATTTTTAAGCTTATTTTTTCCATGTGTTCATTAGAATGACACTATATTTTATCAATCGACTAGATTTAAAAATAAGCTTCAAGCTATTTTCTATATAGCTTCAAGCTATAACTTCAATGGTACTAGAGAACGTATGGCCCATGTGTGTAACACAAAACTCATGTCGTTTTTAAGAGACTTACAAGACACGTTGTGTGAGGGAGATGTGTTAATTATGAGAGTCCCACATCCAGGGGCGGAGGCACGTAGAGTATTATGGGTGCAATTGACACCAATAAAGTTTTTAAAAACGTTCTAATTTCATTAAGTTTTTAAATATATATGAATCTTGAACCCAACCCAATTTTGAGTTTGAACCCAACCCAATTCAAAATTTAATTTTGTTATTTCTTGTCAACATTTTGGTATTTTCATAAAATCAATTATAATTATAATTTTCTTCCCTTAGATAGAAACTTCATATCTTCAATATGGACGAACAGAAATGGAATCCACCAAAATGTGTTCCGAAATGCTTGTTGTTCCATCTTGAGACATTTGTGCATGTGGAGAGGATACGAATGTCAACGAGGAGGGAGAAAGAGGTGGCCACATACATCCTAGAAAATGCAAGACGGTTGAAGAAAGCAACCTTCTGCACAAAACCCATCGAGACAGAAAAGCTTGAAAAGTTGGAAGAGAGAAATGGGAAGCTCAACAAGTAGGACGACACTCTCTACATTTTCTTGGACAAATACTGAAATGCCAATACCGGTTTATCTGTGGAAGCGCTTTACTAAACCGGAAAATTGTGGATTTTCATTTTTCTTTTTATATATTAATACATTACAAAATACAGAAAAAATTATATTTTTTATTTTATTTTGTTGTTATGGACAGTGGTTCGCAATAGCAGCTTAGGACTCACATATGCAGCAACAATTACACTGTCTATATTCAGATAACATTTATGTTATCAATGAAAGTTTTCGTTGGAGAATATATCTTGTCTATGCTTTTTTTTTTGGTCATATCTTGTCTATGCTTTATTTTACATATTATTTCATTTCATTTATGTAAGGATCAGAACTGTATATACATATGTGGTCAAGAATAATGTTGGTTACCCTAACTTGACTCTTATCATGAAAGGTATGGGAGGACAACTCATCATGTTGTGATAGCTATTGTTCTTTTCAGAATCAGAGAGGATTGTGATCTTGCTGGAATTTTTTTAGCCGTCGTGTATATGTTGTTTTAAGAAAAGCCAAAAGGCTTTAAGATCCTATCTCTTATTATCATCAGCATAGTCTTAGCTGCCCTCAAGATTTTTTTAGTTGGTGGTGAAAGTTTTGGATGCCCTAGTGATAGGCTCCCACGTCTAAGGTTGGGGGTCGGCCATCATACAACCGAAAAGAGTTAGTAATTTAGTATTAGGTTATGTTAGAATTAGGATTAGGGTTACAGTTAGAGGTAAGCGTTAGAGTTCTCTCAAAAAAAAAAAAACATTAAACAAAAAATGGTTGTAACTTATTAACTCATCATAACAACAAAACATAAATGGTCAGCTCTACATAGCTACAAAAGCTTTAGATACCATGCGGTAAGATATTTCTACCTACAGATATATATTGGCTAACTTGATTTGGAGTCAATAATTCATAGCTTGCTTTTCAAATATATGTCGGGTCATCTTGTCTCCGATTCAGTAAATCCTTTGTTCACACGATTCAATACCGTGTAATTTTGTACTAATTTTGTAAAAGTTGAATACCCAAACAAAAAAATACATGAATCTAAATCCCAGACCTATTTTTAGGACAAATCCTACTTTTCATTTATCTATCTACTTATGAATTATTAGTCTTTTAATCAATTATTTAAATTTTTATTGGTTAATTTATTTTTCAAATCTTAACATTTAAAAACATATTATGTGCTATATCCAATTTTTTTTAGAATGATATTGTTAAATAATTAAATTTTTAAAATAATATTCAGTGTTCAAAAATACGCCTTGTTATTCTCATATACATAAGGTAAGAATAAAAACATTCATATATACTATATGACAACGTTTTTTTTTTTAATATCCTTAACAAAACGATGTTGTTTTCTTTTTTCAATTGATTATTTTTCACATAGTGATACTCAGATTGATGTTCTACTTTTTGTTATTTGTTTCACAAAGATTGATTTTTTAGCTTTTTTTTCTTTATTTTATTGATTTATAATAATAAATCGTAAACTTCTAGGCGTAATGATTGAAAATAATTAACTTTCTTAAATTACCATTGGTTGATAATTATTTTAAAATATGTAATATTAAAATTAATATTTAAATAATTAAACAATGATTGAATTCTTAATATGCGTAAAAACTCTAAAACATCTAACTATTACGAACATAGGAAGTATTTGATTTTTAGATATAATGTTTCCAATGCAACGTAAATTATTACTCAATAGAGATTACCTTCACCTTTTTGGTAGTATATTATTTTTTTATTACCCATGATGAGTATTGTTCGTATATTTCTTACTATAATATTTTTGTGGTTTAGATATGAGCATACTACCAAAATTTTATTATTTTTAATTTATTTTCCTCTAGAGAAGAATATGTATCATAATCATATGTAGCCCTGGGCATAAAAACCGAAACCGAAAAACCGAACCGAACCGAACCGAAACTATCCGAATGTTTTGGTTTCGGGTGTCACAAAATAACCGAATGGTTCTCTTTCTAAACTATCCACGGATATCGGTTATTAACCGAACCGAACCGATATCGATGGATATCCGCTTTAAACCGAACATAATTTATTTATGAGGCCTAAAGCCCATTTGTCTTCCCTACCCAACTTACCCAACCCATTGCCTAATCCCTACCCTACTTACCCAACCCATTAAGCCCAAGCCCATTGTGTGTGATTGTGTCATAGAAAGAGAAGAATGGAAGATCAACTCAAGGACTTGAAGATGCTTGTAGAATCTAATAATCTTTTACTCTCTCTTTCTCTCTTTCTCGCTTTCTCTCTTTCTCGCTTTCTCAAGTCTCTTTTGAACTTGATTATTTTGTTGCGGTCTCAAGTCTAAACTCTTAAGTCTCTTTGAAGTTTGAACTTTGTTATTTTGTTGCGGTCTCAAGTTTTATTTGGGTAATGGTTCGGTTATTTGGATAGTTCGGTTATTTGGTGGGTAAATAACCGAACCGAACCATATCCGAAAGTATTTCGGTTATTTTTTGGTTCTCTTCCTAAGTATCCAAACCGAACCGAACCGAAAGCTAACCGAACCGAACCGAACCGAAAACAGTTCGGTTCTCTTATGGATGCTAAGTGCCTAAAACCGAATAACCAAATAACCGAATAACCGAACCGAACCGAACCGAATAACCGAACGCCCAAGCCTAATCATATGTCTAGGCATTGTACCATATCCTCTTGTATACCTGTGTTATGTGTATAATGTATGTGTAGGCATTATAGGGTAATCAACATTTGGGCAAACCAACACTTGAGATCACACTATAAGAAGTGATCGAACCCCGAACATTTGATGAGCTCAGAGCTGCTTTACATGTTAATCAACATTACCTAAGCTTAGAAACTTTTATCATTTAGAAATTAAGAAGAAGCAGGATAACCACTAAAGCAGAAACAAAAACAAACAAGATTAGAAACGTTGAAACTTTATAACAATGTTTACAGATTTATAAAAACAAATGTTCTGAAAGAGTTACAACTTCTAAAATTCGATCTGAATTTCCTTACGAAGAAATCATCGAGGATTAGAACTTACTAGCTTAACAATTCTTTGACTATGCTACACAAATTATAAAATACATGATCTACTTAACCCTTTTTTCCTTATATTTATAAATAACCATGAAGTTATCACACAGGTGAAGCTGAGAGCAGAAACTCAGGCTGCTTTCTCTGCAGGAGCACTCCACAGAAGAGGCAGAACGGTTTCGAGGCAGCTTTGCTAAAGGAGGATTTTGGAAGTGATTTGAGATCACTCGGGAATGAAGGCAATGCAAATAAGGTCTCTGGAGCGAGTTCTAAAGTCATTCGGTTGCAGCATTTGCAGAACCATAAAGGAGTTGGTGGACATACTTGCATTGAGACACAACACCTCTCAAGCTTGTGGCTTTGATCACATCTCTCTTTGTCTTTGCTCTTCTTCTTTTTTTGGTGCGGAGATTCGCAAAAGGCTTCCTCCGCTGAGTGGAAATTGACTGGCGCTGCACAATAAGGACATTTCTCTTCCTCTAATGAGGTTTCTGTGCTATTACTTGATCTGTGATGAATTAGAAACATAGAACATATGAATTTGAAACATTCTAGTATCTATTACCAAGGGAAGAAGAAGGTATGTGAGAAAATTACCTCGTTCGACTAGATTTCACTTCTACGGAAAGTGTTTCCAGCTGACTATGGACAATATCGCGATTTATCTCAACCCATTGTTGCAACTGAGCCAATCCAGCTGGACACCAATTCCAAGAGGAAGGCGAAACAGTACCCTGAGATGACTCAGAGAGTAGATAAGCCGAGAAACTGAGACCAACCAGTCTTTCCCGGAGTTCTCGTTCACTTTCTTCAAGCAGTTTGAGCCACAGATCAATTTCTTCTTCATCGTTCGTTCTCTGACCTTGAAGTTTTCTGTTGATTTCCACTGTTTTGAGCTCCGATAACATAACACGTCTAGAGATTACGTTGAGAATGTGTAACAGCCTGGAAGGAACAGCAGAGAAGCATTTGGTGATCTTTGGCACCAGATCTTCCATGGAGATATCAGCATGAAATCCGAGGTATGACACAGAGAGCCATTTGGTTAATACCAATTCAACAAACTCTGGCATTGATTGTTTGAACGCCAGCATTGCAGCTACCATATCCCAAAGAACTAGAGGCTTATTCAAATCTTTGAATTCTTTCAACGACCAGAGAAAATTAGATTCCCAATATGCGAATTCATTTTTTGAGAATCCCAGAATAGCTTCGGTTACCGTCTCTGAAGAATCTTCTGACTCACCAGATTGTTGTGCACCATTCCAGAGGAATTCTACAGCAGCCTTCTGCGACCTGAAGGCAAAAAAAAATGAACAGTCAGGTTTTGTAACGAGCAGGACACAGAAATGCTACTTAATGAATAATAATCACCTGGCTTGGTACATCGGATTCAAGAGTTCAACGTTAAAGTTGCGGACCTGCAAAATTTCAATGAGAAGTCTTAGTTATCTAATTCTGAAAAACGTGATAGCTTACAGTCACCACGAACCAGGTTTCTGGGAAGATCATACCAAAGCAACAGCAAGGTTTCCAGGGGACAATGCCACACCAAGGCATGACAGGAAATCATCAGGAAGCTGCGGAATATTTCATTGTTTGTAAAGATAAACTACAGGTAGGGATAAACATCGAGACAACATTAAAAACATAACATAGTGACGTACATCAGTCGTGCTACTGAGACCAGGAGTGTTTGCAGGAATTGGCACTTCAGAGATGGTATTCTCACACAAAATCCAGTTCAAGACATAATTATCCTGCATGTTACAAAAGAGTAATGCAACCTATAGCTAAAAAGAATTCGACAGTAGTTGATAGATCACAATGTAGCTCATAGCTTAGTTTTTTGGTAAGAAAATCATGATTGTTTGTCTCTCACAAGACAAGCAGTACAAAAGCTGTTTTTACAGAGCAGAAATATAATACCTGACTGCAACTGTACAAACAACGGCCATCATATGACCAAGCTAGACCTGTAACCTAAAAAGAGTGCCATATGCATCAATTAACGGAACACTTACATTGCATTTTAGAAAAAGGTTTATAGTAACAGAATAATGTCTTACCACTTGGTTATGAGCATTACTTGAAACAATTTGTTCAAACTTTCTTGTAGATATTTCACACTTCCATACTTCGAAAGAACCAGAGCCTTTGCCGATTGCCAAGTGCATTGCATTATAATGATTGCTTACAACAAAAGAAAGTGTTGAAACCTGAACAGGATTCACCGCTACAACCTATAAATACGCCGGAAAATGTCAAAACACACAAAACTCTTAATGTTTTTTTTTTGTTTTTTTGATAAAAAAACTCTTAATGTTACCTCGATGAAAACACACTTACATAGAATGCAATTAAAGAGAAAAACGGACAAATCATGATAGACTGATAGTTTCATAAACAAGGAAATAGATACATATGGAGTCAAAAACACAAGGACCTACAGACACAAAGCGCAATATAAATTCAACTTTACTTACAGAAAAACTTCAGAAAGGATCGCAGTCAAAATTCAGGATAGTCTCAATCACAATCAATGCAGATATCACAGAAGCTATACTCAATCTGTTCCTATTCAGAATATCAGACAAAGTAGAACACAGAGAGAAGAAATTAACTATCACCTGTTTAAATAGAGAGAATGAAGATTTATAGACATCCACAGATTTTTGCAAGTCTTCGTTGTTGCTCATCCAAATTTTTACACTGCAGAAAGTGCGGAAAGAAATGGTCAGGAAAGTGTTATAAAAAAGATTCCATTGAGAAGCATATGCAAATGAATGGACATTAAAATGGCTTATTTCCAAGAGTGAGAATTTCAAAGAATTTCTAACATTTTATGTTATGTTTAACAAATACAATTTGTTTCTCGTAATAGAACACTTACTTACCTACCATCGCAACTCCCAGTAACCAACACCACTTGCGGATTCAAAGAATCACAGCCAAAAATTCCCCAACTCATAGTTGAAACCCATGAGCTATGGGCCTGAATTATAGCATGAAGTTCCACCATGGGAGATACATTAGTACGTTCAATGTGATAGCATTCAGGTGCATGAACTTTCCAGATGGAAACACTACCGGACTTTGAACCAATTGCCAAAAGCGAGAATCTTAACATATTCTCACTAGAAGAAATTTCTGATGAGAATCTTAGTAGAGATGACCAGGCTACGGAAAGGGAGGATAATAATGCCTCACGAGACACATACGTTTCTGGACTTATCTCTTGACTACACTTTTTCAGAGCTTTAGGCAAAGAGTGACAATCTTGGCCATTGCTTGCCTGTTTATATACTTCAATCTCAAGTACCTGGGAACATAATGAATCATGTTAGATATGAGTACAATGCGATGATTTGATTCTTACTAGATGACACTTGAGAGTGAGAGTGTCAAAACTTCTAAGAACCATATGGTGTGAGCGATGCGTTAAAGGATTCTGGTGGAATTCAAAAGCATTCCATGATTCGAAATGCATCAAATCAATGATGGTACAATATAACAGAAACAAGTTAGTGAAGAGATAAGAGGAAATACATTATGCTCTGCTTGACTGTCTTGCTTGGAACATGATGCTCGATCTGTATAATTCTTTTCATGCAAGTTGCTAGAACGAGTCACAGATGAAAGTAAGTTAGTAAAGTGATCAAAATAGATGGAAAACAATTTCTCAAACCACTAGTATGCATCTGAGGAAATTTAAAAGTGAAAAAATGCTCTTTACATGTTGTTTGCGCTTGTTTTTCTTCGCTTGCGTGCCTTCAGACTTGAAATCCTTTCATCGTCTTCATGGTGATGTTCTACCAATTGATCCTGTGATAAAAGAGCACAAATCATTTCAACAATATATAGCTTGGATCAAAATAATATGCTAGAGATGTAAATGATTATGCAATACCTTCCACCACAACAATTGTCCGTTAATAAAGGATAACAAAAGATGTAACCGATTTGTTAAGATGAGTCCTTATCAAAATCTAAAGGTGAGAGTACGATGTACAAACTATCTACATATCCCTCCCTTATAGGAAACACATACATTATATAGTTCGCCTGGAGTAGTAAGTTGTCCTTCATGGTGATCAACTATCCACTGAAAAGTGATTAGTTAAAGATACAAGTTACCTTAGATAATGAAGTAGAAGGATTGTTGGACTCTCCAAAGTTCATGCTTGATAGATTCTCATAAAGCATTTTAGATACATCAACAATCTGCAAAACCGATGAAAGCAACTGTAATGCATAATTTAGTTATAAAAGGTAAAACAGAATTTACGACTTACCTCAATCCACTCAGCACAAAAATCAGAATATGGAGGTCGGTATAGCTTAACCCTTCCTTCCGCTGTGCAAACAGCCAGTAAGCACCTGACCAGAGTTATTTGAATCACCAATTTAGGAAATAGAGAGACTAAACAAACTCGAACCGTGAGAGAGATCGAACACATGGATTCGGAGAAACTGTATAATACCCGTGGTTGGGAGACATTCCTATCTCAGACCATGAGAGAGATCGAACACATGGATTCCTTTCCCGCTTCAAACTCGAAGGTAAGAGTCCACCAGTCAGCAAATCTACAATCACATCATCACTCAAATTGTTATCCGAAACCTCAAATCAACAGAAATTTGATCTACAAACACAAAACTTCATGTTCCTGAACACTAAACAGTTGCAAAATATTGAACTTTGATCTGCAAATCTGAATTGACACACATAAAGGAAGGATTTTGAAATTTGATCTGAATTTTTGTTATCAATAAAAATCAAACCTTGAGAGCGAACACGACCAATCTGATAAGGCTCAGCGTCAGAGATTGTGATCAATCCACGAGGTCCAGAAGGCAAAGCCGGATTCTGACAATTATAAAAGTCGTCAATACAATTTTAAAAAGACTCAAACTTTAACCTCAAAATACGAAGCAGAAGAAAACTTACAATGATGATGACTAGATGACCAGCAGCGACGGCGATGAGATTTTCCGATGACCAAGCGACGGCGTTAGGATACGATGGTGAAGTAACAAGTGAAGCTTCCTGAAACCGCGACGCCATCAAATTGACTAAGAATCTCTTCTAGATCCGTTTGAAGATCAACTGAATTTTTTTGGAGGGAAAAAAAAAAACTTGCTCTGCTTTGCTTTAGCTTAAGCTTTGACAAACGAACTGATGAATTTGATTCAGTACGGAAACCCTAGTTCGAATCGCAGTGACGCAGATGCGATCCTCAATTATTTTTTTTAATTTGTTTATTTCTATCCGAATAAAAGTCAACGTGCTCGTTCTTTAAACGGCGTCGGTTGAATGATGGGCTAAGCCCAAATCATTTTGAGTCCACTAGAGAATATTTAGTGAGGAGACCATAGTTCGAAACGCAGAGACGACGAAGGAATTCTTAATATAATCTTAAAACGGTGTCGTTGAGCTTTAGCGATAAGCCCAAATAAGTAAAAACTTCAAAAATTAAGGGTTTTGAAGCCGCGAGAAAATATTCGCCGTCGCCGATGTCGGGAAACAGAAGAACTTGAGGCAAAAAATTCAGTTTTTTTTTTCCGGTGAGTCTGAAGTTCTGGAATTTTAAAATTCACGACTCGATTACCCAATTCTCCGTCGGCTAAAGGCAACACAATGAAGCACATATAAGTGAAAATCAATAGGAACATATGTATACAAGTTATAATCCTGCAATTGCATTGGCATTGGATTGATCTGTTTGTTTTCTTGAATTAGAGAAAAGAGTAAACTTTGGGAAGAAACAACGGGAATCATAGAAGAAGGAATAATCTCAGGTACCTTGCCAAGCAAGGAGGCGTTTGTAGTACACTTCCCTGGTTACCCATCTTCTATTTCCCGAGCCATTGAAACACTTGGAGGTATCCAAGGAATTTCACAAGTAAAAAATCTCTTAACTTTAGTCTTAAAAGTCTCTTCCTTTTTACTGAAATTGTCTTCATATGCTAGTTATTAGAGCGATGTCTATATGTTGTTATTTGTTACAGTCTTGGTATATGCATCCATATGACTTTTAAAAGGAGAGATTTTTATTCAGTTTTGAGTCTTTTTTTTTTAACTGGGTAGGCAAGGGAATCAATTTCAAATAAGCTTGAGCTGCGTTTCCGGCCTGAAGATCCTTATGCACATCCTGCATTGGGTGAACAACGTCCTTGCTGTGGTTTTTTGTTAAGAATTTCTAAGCAGGATATCAAGAAACCTGAAAGTCAGCCTGTTCTTGCCACTAGTAGTGATGTATGTTTAGAGGAAGCTAGTACAGTTCTATGTGCAGATATCATAGCTCGTGTGTCTGAATCGTTTCACTTTGATGGTAACAACTTTGCTCTCCTCTTTTTGCTTGGTTCTAATGCCTCTGAAATTTTGTCTTCCATGTGAGAGTTGGTACTTGATAGCTCATATTTATAGTGTTTCAAGACTTTCTTCTCTTATTTGTTGTGTAGGCATGGCTGATTATCAGCATGTTATTCCAATTCACGCGGACATTGCGCAGCAGAAAAAGAGAAAGTGGATGGATGTTGATTCCCTTACAGGTGATTCACTTGCAATTATTTTCTGTTTTTCAATTTATTCGAAATTTCTGGTGTGATCACCTAAATTATATCGGATATATGCAGGAAACAGTGATTTGATGGGCCTGGCTGATGAAGATGTGATGATGTTATTGCCACAGTTCTTTGCACCCAAAGATATACCAGACAATGTGGCGTAAGATTACACTGCCTGTTTCTATTTCTTTCAATTTTTATCCTTTCTTATTCGGTGGAATAGCCGTTTACTTAGTTGTAAATATATTTATTACTAGGGTAGTTACCCGCGCCTTACGCGGCCAAAATGATTTTTCGAAAAAAAATTCAAATTATAAAGATTAAAAATAGTTTAGTGATTTTAAAATACGATCGAATTATTACAAATGATCAAACATGTCTAGTACAAATGATTTACCCATTAATTGTAACTCATAAGAACACCAAACTAATCAAACATTTGTGTAGACCTTTCTATGACCCACTGAATCACCCGACTCTGAATATCTTGCATTCCTTGCAGCCCAAACAAAAGCCATCGCGAGTATACTATATATGGAAAACTTGCTAGGTTATTAACCGAAACAAATGCGAACATCCAATTAATATATTATGATAGACTCTGAATATTACCCGTTCTTTGATCTCTTCAAGATCGTAAAACTCCGAGTCAAGGTAAAATCTAGAACATCCACTTCCATTCATGAGACATGGTTTCTCGGAAAAATATACAATTCGATAAGATCATATAATATATTAGCTGCCTTAAGTTTTTTTTTTTTTAATATGATAAAGAAATATCAATCAATACTTTTGTACTCATCAACCCGCCAAAACCTCAAAACACAAAACACACTCTCATAAACTAATCGGTCAAATCTCCCACCGCGCAATATCTCAATTTCAACCCTTTTTAATTTACAAACCAAAATAAAAACGACATATATACGAAAATATTGGCATGCAAAATTAAAAGGAAATTTACCTATAATTCTTTAATATGAAATAAACACAGTTGCATCCATTATCCCTATCGAATTGCCAACGAACGTAAGAGATTCTTTTAAGACCGCCAATATGGACGGAAAATCCCACCGTATCTAAGTTTTAGGGATTTAATTTGTTAGCTAACTCATAGTTACATTAAAACCAAAAAAATGAAAGGAAGAAAACGAAAACTTACCAATAGGAGTCTCGGTCAAGACCCTCCTATCCCCTTATTCGTCTAAATCTTTCAACTTAATCATTAATTATGAGGCCTCTATACCTTAAACTCTAATCCCTACCTTATAAACCCAATTTAGTTGTTCAAATTCGTCTAAATGTGTAACACCAAAACCTAACTTCTACCTTATAAACTCAAACCGATATTTAACTTCGTCTAAATGTATAACACTATACCATAACTCCTACCTTTGAAACCCAAACCGATATTTAACTTCGTCTAAATGAAAAACACTATACCCTAACCTCTACCATATAAACCCAAACATTATAAGTTAAGTCATAAATCATTTTAATATAATCTAATGAGATTTTTCCATTGTTTGAATCTGTTTGGTTACAGTATGAAAGAGCGATATCAAGCCTAAACCCTAACTCTTGCCTTATAAAACCAATATGATATTTAAATTTGTCTAAAGGTATAACACTAATTCCTACCGATTAAATCCAAACCGATATTTAATTTCGTCTAAATATAAAACACTAAATTCTAACCCTACCTTATAAACCCAAATTATTTATTTAAATTCGTCTAAATGTATAACACTAAACCCTAACTCCTACTTCATAAACCCAAACCTATATTTTAGCAGTCACCTCTCAATCAATTGAAACATCACCCAAATCTCATGCATCATGGTTGCTTTCACATATCCAAAACCTACAATCATAAAAAAAACATCACAACTATAAGACTATAATAATATGTATAATAAAAAATAATGTAAAAAAGCTGGGTTTAGCTATGAACCGTAAGTATAAACATGCAAATTATTTATATTAAGCTAAGAAGCGGTAGACTTTAGGTTTTATCTTTTTTCGACGATAATAACTACAAAAAAAAAAAGAAGTTTTATATTTTTTTAAAGCACATAGTTATCATATCAACTAATATTGGTAAAACTACCATTTTTCATTTTTATCCATGTTAAAATAAAAAAATATAAGAAAAATTCCTTACTTTCTTAGAATATATGGATAAGAGATCAGAGAAATAATTTTTTCGATGATATTACCTAAGAAATAGTATAAATTTTATATTTATCATTATCTACACAAATTTTAAAAATTATTTTTATTAATTTTTAAAATATATTATCAACCCAGAAATTAAAAAATAGCTTTACTCATCATTATTCCATGTTAAAAAAAATTAACCAAGATCTATAGTGTCGAGAAAAGTTAATTACCATTAAAATTAGTTACCCTTTGTGCGTCATTTTTCCCATTTTTATAGCGGATATATATATATATATATATGAAATAACAATTTTCATGTAATGCTGAATTTTTAGTTAATTCAGAAAGATTAACAATTGCCAATTTCTATATTCTCCAAATCTTAATCTTAATATATATTTTTTTGTCAAAATCTTAATCGTAATTTTTATATCAAATAATAATCTGAATATTTTATTATCTCGGATAATTAAAAATTTATCATTCTGATAATTAAGTATAAAATAAATTTATCACACTATATGTAAATTTGTTTTTTTTAAAACAAGATAAGAAAAGATAGACTTCTTTTTGTTATAGTGTTACTACATTTAGAAGTTTCTGCAGCTTAAACTCAAACACATAATGACAACTAAAAAAAACCAAGCACATGTGATTATCATCGTGGTCTCAAGGACACATGGAAACAGAGAGAATTACTTTTAGTTAGGTTCAAATAACTGTTTATCAATATACAAATTAATATGATTTTTTTTTTGCAAGGATAGCTTCCGCTTGTTATCCTCGTTTCCATACCAACAAAACACAAAACATTATTTTATATTTTCTCGGAGATATATATCGACTGGTGTATAATTATTGAGATATTTGACATTGTCACAAAGTAAAAGGTTTATTTATAACAAACGAAAAACAAACAATTAAAATCTACAATTTTCCACATTTAGTGGGAACACATGACACCGTTTCTTTCTCAAGATCATGTAAATTCAGCTGGTGAGCATTTCCAAAAACAGACATCCCGTTAGAACTTCCCATGGCCAAACACAAAACGCCGGTGATTGAATCCTGCCACCATGTATTTTTTTCCGGGAAGCTGCAAATCCGCACCTTTAAAATGAAAATCAACTTGGAGATCTGTCTCCAAAAATTATTCATACTATAATCATGTTCTTAAAAAGAACCTTAAATTTGAGAAATATGAAGGTTACGCTTATATTATATCACATCTAGAAAAGAGAAAGATACAAAATGGGCAAAAATAGTCAACAAAGAACATGTTCCAACTTTCGTAACTTTTAAAAAGGCATTAGTGTTTGTGTTTCTATATATCTCTTTAAAGCCTCGTAACTCTCATAAATCCCACCCAACTTTCAAAATAGACACAAAGACATGGACCGACCACACTATCCAAAGCGAGCTCTATCCCCCGTGTTGGCAACACTTTTTTCTTATTAGTTTGGTTGTGACACACACAATTTCTCCAATAACCTCGCCTTCGCCGAAAGACGATTACTTTGAGCTTCGACCTTAGGCTCTTTTCTCCACTGGATATACAACGAACCAAATGATACCGTTTCCATCGCCTTTGGCCACCATGGAACCTCTTCTTCTTCTTGGATTGCTTGGGGAATTAACCCAAGTAGTACTCAGATGGTTGGGACGCACGCGCTCGTCGCCTTAACCAACTCAAGTGGCCAATTCCAGGCCTATACCTCGTGAGTTGATATGGCACGCAGTACACGCAGTATCCTTACCTTCCATGTGAACAGCGTCTCCGCGAGTCTGGTCAATGGGAGGCTACCATCTTCACAACTCTTGAGTTACCACCGAATTTGAACACGAACAACCAGTTTTGGGAGGTAGGACATGTTGTTAATGGTGTTCCTTGAGGAATAAAAGGACAGGAGATAATATGAGATCGAGTGGTAGGACTGATCTCCGAACATGTCATATAAAAGACTCCATTGACCACATATCTTTGTTTTCCGCTATTCAAAGAGCAGAGTTGGAGAAAACAAACGAATTTCTTGGAGTGATCTTTTCGTAGTGGAATTATTCTTGAGGGTTTGGTCTTCCTGAATCATGCAAATAAAAAAGAAGCAAATCTCTTGCCTGAATTTACAGCTTTAGCTATGAATCTTAGAGAAAATTTTAGGGATTGAGCTACAAACCTGTTGTATTTGAAACTGGTATTCGTGAGTCCAAAAGCGAAGGCCGTGACAGCTCCGAAAGATAAGAGACACATATGTTGTCTTTTGATGGATGAGACACTGGAAGCAATGAGAGACTTGAAGAAAGCTATATCTCATGAGCTTTGGTGTTTTAAGAACATTGTATGAAGATATCCTGAGTTATTCCAAAGCTCATCCTGCGAATAAAATCAAGAAATAGATCAAACAAACCTAAATGCAATTCATTGCTTTAGAGGCAGTTCATTAAACAGGAGTTGAAGACTAAATTTTTTGAATTATTTTCATAATCCTTAATGATCAAAGAAAATAAACGTCTCTTTGTTAACAATCTGGTCAAAACCATGACTATTGAAAAATCATGAACATAGACAATAAGAAGATCAAGTACGTTTCTGTCTAATGAATATGTTTAGCTCACGGAAAAAAAATGTTTAGCTAACGAATCTGAAAGGGTTCGGAAAAAGAAGCATGTTACCTCTGCAATCTCGCTCGTGATCTTATCTTGAAGAGCCGCTCGTGGATACGACCCATGATTTGTCCCGGAAGAAAAATATATATACGCTAGGGTTTATAGCCGCCAAAAAGAAAAACAAATAAATAAATTCACGATAAAATTAAAAAATATAGTTTGATAAGAGACTACCTTTTCGCAAGATGAAACAAACCCTAATATCTTTAGGAGATTTTATTAATTAAATCGACACGCATATAACAACAAACAATTATGAAAAACAAAACATGTAATCAATTAAACTATAAACGTCATTAAGAAGTTGATCAACAATTGGCAAAGATCTATGAGATCTTACTTTCCAAGAAACCATAACATAAAAAGGAGAAACGGTGAGGGTAAAGGACAAAGGACATGATGAACAGATTTAAAGTTTACGTATCACAGAAATATATTCGAAACGATAAAACAATGCGTTAAAAAAAACAACACGTAAAAGAATACAGATCGTATCAAAGAAAATAAGGCCGCACGGTCGATCGATTGATGATCGTAACTATATGATCATGCAATAGTAGAGCAATCAAATTAATTTTGTTTTTGGTAAAAAAAACGCATAAATCAAGCAAGATTAGGGATATACCTCAGTTTGGTTTGAGCTTCGTTTGCAATTCCACGATCCAAAAAGTGATCCAAAAAGTTTATGCTTGTACCTGAGGAAAGAAAAAAGTGCTAATCAAAATCATGAGAATTATCATGCATATATAAAACCAAACAGCTACGAAAATCAAAACATGTAATCGACCAAGCTATAAACCTCGCGTAAACAACTCATCACAAATTGGCAAAGATCTTTGAGATCTTACTTTCCATGTGACCATGACATAAAAAGAGGAAAAAAACCAACGACGATGCATCATAGAAAGGACCAAATTTGAGGTACAAAAAAGAACTATAAAGAATAATTGCTATGCATAAAAAGCCAGCCGTGATGTTTGATTTTCAATGGAGGCATCCTATATTTATAGGAATTTCCAGCATAAGGTTTTAGGGTTTTACATATGACGGTGTAAATTATACCGGGCTTTTTTTTCCGTAAAAATATAAGTCCAATAAGCGAATAAGCGAATTAGGGTCGAAGAAACGAAAACAGTATGTTTCTTTTTTTCAGAATTTCGTTTTTTTTTTAAATTAACAAAATGGAAATTTAACTAATTTAATCTAATTAAGGGAGGAGGGCAAAAACGACTGCTCATATTCTGAGAGCGAACGTGAGCACTTTTGACTTCTCCTTTAATATATAAGATTGTCGAGCGGTGAAGAAAAACATTAGTTGATTGAAGTGACTTCAATTATAGTGCTGATTTCAATTTTCTTGTGTGATTACAGGTTGAAACCTCCGGCAACATCTGGTCCTAAAAAGAAAGATGATGCGGCAACTCAGAACTTTTATGAGGTAAAAATAAAGAAATGGAAGCATCTGAGTTTTCTAAATAAACTAAACACAGACTGTTGGTTGCACCTAGAAGATAGAGAATAGGTAGTTGGGAACACTATAGGACATATCTAAACTTTAAATATCTAAACTTTATCTATAGACTATAGGACATTATTTTCTTGCTGAACTAATTGTCTGGGACTTAATTTACTTGTAATCTTGAAGTTTTAGGAATTTCTTAACCAAACCTGCATTTCGATTTCGGTTACTAAGAATAGGTGGATTATACTAGTAGAGGTTTGGCATGATAGTCATTAATTTGCAAAAGTTATATCTCAATCATGCAAATGCAGTAGTAAAAATATTTGAAGCATGTAAAACTCTTGGTTTCACTCTTATGAACCATCAAGAATGCGTGATCCGTTCTGTTCTCTTCCGGATTTCAAAGATGCTGCGACCGCTTCCTTATAGTTTTGTCATAACCTAATAGATCTATGTCATGCTATTTTCTTTTATGATGCAGATTGATGTTGGCCCAGTATTTGCAATTGATTTCAGTGTCAAAGATATCCTTTTTCTTATATGCTAGTTCTTCTTCCGATATTTCTTTTGACATTTTTGCATCTGGCAAGTAGAAAGAGCCGTGTTGGCTTGTTCTGTCCTTAACTTTCAATACAGATCCCAAAGAAACTGAAGTGGGAAGACTTTGTTTCTCGCAGCTCCAACCACTGGCAATGGCAGGTATCAGTGTCTGCATTGTTTGAGGAGCGGCCTATATGGACAAGGGATTCTGTAGTTCAACGACTACTTGATAAAGGTCTTAAATGTACACATCATATGTTAAACAGGTGAGATAGCTTTCTAATACGGGTTTCTTATACTGAGGTGTTTTTAGTACTACATTGATCAATTTGGTGTGTTCTCTGTAGGTTTCTGCTCAGGGCTGCGTATTATTTCTCCAGTGGTCCGTTTCTTAGGTTCTGGATTAAAAGAGGCTATGATCCACGGAATGATCCTGAGTCTCGTGTGTGAGTTCTCTCTTAAGAAATTGATTTATAGATTCTTATTATATGGTTCTTGGTTCGTGACATTTGTTAGGTGAAATGGTAATAGACATAGATGGGTGCATAATGTTTAACTTTTGAATAATTGTGTTTCAGATATCAGAGAATGGAATTCAGGGTTCCTCCTGAATTACGGAGTTATTGTGATGCCAATGCAACTAACAGGTAAGTCTTTTCTATTTCTGCGGTGAACTCTTCCTACATTAATGACACAGCGTCCTGGAGATTTAAGCCTGAATACTCTCTATAGCATTCTAAGATTGTAGGATTGTATCATACATTTAGCATGATTTGTTAAGAAATTTGCAACTGAACCATTGGATTTATGCAGGAAAAAGTCTGATTATATGTTTTTTCTTTTCTTTGCTACAGCGCAAAGCCAAGCTGGAACGACATTTGTGCTTTTAAGTTATTTCCTTTCCAATGCCAAACGTTTCTGCAGTTGTTTGAACTTGACGACGAGTACATCCAGCGAGAGATAAGAAAGCCTCCCAAGCAAACTACTTGTAGCGTGAGTTCTCAGCTTAGCTTTTTTTCATGAAGTAAATACCCATGAATCGTGGTCTTTTGCCTGTTGGGTTAGAGATTAGTCGCACACAAAGTCACGCATCTACGCCAATAGATAAAATTTGGCAAGTCCTCAAGTTTATGATCTGATTCGTTTCTTGTTTGCAGCATAAATCAGGATGGTTTTCTGAAGCTCTGCTTGATACTTTGAGACTCCGTGTAGCTGTGAGGTTTGTGTCTGTCTTCCCTGAGCCAGGTTTCGAGATGTATTTAAATCCATTCAAGAAGAATTTGAGAGGTCAGAAAAAGTACAAAGTCAGAAAGAGACACTTAAACCATCTTTAGTGAAGCACCGTGAGGCAACTAAAAGTAAGATCATCAAAAAAATTGTGTGTATATCTCTTTTAGCGTTTAGAAGTCTAGTGAGTGCTTTTTGATATGCCTTTGCGTTTGTAGAGTATTATTCGGAGTTAATCAAATCTTTAACAGAAACTCAGTAGACTCAAAAGATCATACTGCTCTATGAGTATATTAGATGCATATATATTATGTAGAAATTTGTGTAATAAGAATTCTGTAATGAGCTAAAGTAATCTTGATACATATCACATGCTACGCTTGTTGTCGTTAGTCATTGAACATGTTTTCCTTGAAGACTCTGAAGTAACAGCTACTGACAGTATTTTAATTTGCAGGCTCTGAAGACATGGAAAAGTGTAAAAGTGTAAACGAAGATGTTGATGCTAATGTTAACGAGGATGGAGATGATGAAAATCTGGATGACGAAGATGAAGAAGAAGAAGAAGAAGAAGAAGAAGAAGAAGAAGAAGAAGTCGATATGGTAATATTACTGTTAAAGTAAAGTTTTGTTGTTTTCTTCATCCGCTAGGATTCACCGTTTCTCTGTTCCTCTTCTTTTGCAGGCTGCAGGAGACAATGAGATATCTCTCGGTTCCCATGGATGTATCCTTCAAAGTTTAGCGTTTTCCTGCATTGCAGGAATTAAGCTATGTGTTTGGTTCTAACACCCTTTTGACACTCTGTTTCTTTAGATTTTCCTATACGATGATAAGATCTTGATACTGAGAACAGCTCCAGGACGTATCTGCAAGGCTTGTTCGATAGTTTTCCAACCAGTGAACCTGGTTTATATGGAGACTTTGCTGTTGATGATGGGAGTGATGGAGAGTTTCAGATATACAAGGAAGAATCTGAGGGATTGTATTCCATTGATGATGATCATAATGATGACGACGACGATGATGATGACTGATGCGTAAAGATCATCATTCCACACCACATGTACTGTTTCTTGTCTTCATCTATAAGGCTTTTGTTCTTATGAATCTTGGTCCAGAAATGACATCACCAGGCCTGATCAGCTCCATAAATTGGTTGCAAATTGCAACATAATGCTTGAAACTAAAATGTAACGTTTTAGGTTAAATACTCAATTTTGTAAACGAATCAAAGAAAAATAATTGTTTCATCTCACAAAAAAAAAACTCATTGTAAGTTGTAACCATTACGATTTAGTGATTTACGCATATTCTACTGTAACCATTAGTGGTTCTATAGGACCCAAACAAAACCAAAAAAAACTTAGAGGTTATATTGATAAACATATTACTTATATAGGGACCGAAAAATAAAAACACAAAAGAATTGAATGAATCAACTTAAGGGCAATTCCGGTAATTCACATAAGTTAAAGGATAAAGTACAAACCCTAGTTTGAATTCTCACGGCCGACGTATCACTCATCTATTAAGCTCCTCCGAGTTTTGTTGGCTTCAGACCGAATCTTCTCCGGCGCTGTAGCGTTTCCCCGGTACGGAGTCATTCACCTCTCTCTCTCTCTCTCTCTCTCTCTCGCTCCTCTCTCCATCTCCCTCTCTCCGTTGTTTTCTCTGAGTTTGGTTTCTGTATGTTCTTGTTTGAGCGTTACGGGTCTTGTGAATTCGATGGTTTGGTGTTTCAATTTCGTTAATTGTACTGCTAAGTCTTGTTCCTTGGCTCTCTTGAGGTTATTATACTTCGCTTTGGTCGTGGGGATAGTTTTCTTGACTTCAATTATCTTTTTTTCTGTCGAATGTTCTTGAGTTGCTTAATGTGATTTTTGATTCAATTGAGAGGGTTTATACGCTGTATTACTCTTAATTGTTAGAAAGATTCGAAATTAACAATCAAGAAATACCGGAATAAGAAGTGCATACATCCCTCCCTCTCTCTCTCTCTCTCTCTCTCTCTCTCTCTCTCTCTCTCATCATGGTCGATTGGTTCTCAATAGTCTGCTGTTTGGTTGTGAATTTATGATTAGTTCAGTTACGTTGTGGTTCCGTTTACTTAGCCTAAGTAGATCATTGCCTTATTGGATCATCTAAGCTCCTGTTTGATTTCCCGCATTGGGCATGCAAATTCTTGTTTAGCGAGTGTTGTCTCTGAATTTTTCATATGGTTTTGTAGCTTGAAACAATGTTACATGTGTTCTTTTAGAATGAAAGACGAAGACAGGGAAGCGAGAATCGAACAGAAGAAGAAAATATCCGAGATTTTCAAAGATTTTATGACAGGGTAAAGTTTATTGTTTTGCTTTGATTCTCTTACATATATAACTACTTTCAAGTAAATTGAGTCCCTCTCAATCTTGGTTATTGTAATGATTATAGAATCACACAGCTTGAGGAACTAGGGAATGCTGCAAACAACTTTCTTCTTCGGTTTCAGCAAGGACTAAGTACGTTTTCTTTTGAAATCTTTCTATGACATTGTTTCTTATGAAATTACTGTTTCAGGTTTTCTTCAACGCCCTCCAATGGTTACTTCGTCTAAGTTGATGGAGAACATTATCAAGAAGAATGAAACAAGACGGCTTAAATCATATATGGAAGCGGGATGTATTCACATCCACGATGCTGCACAAAGTACAAGAGCTTGTAAGTTTCCGAACAACTCTTTTGATTTAAGTCTCTAAGTTATGTGAAAAGTTTCCTGTTTTAGGAACATTATTCTTTTATGTTCTGCTTACATGTTGCTCCTTTTTTTTCTTGCATTTCTTCTTCTTCTCGACTTGGTCTTCCGTTTCTTATCTGAAAACAAAAAATACCGGAATAAGAAGTGCATACATCCCTATCTGGACTTTCTGACCACCTAATCAAAGGTAGTGTATTACTCCGTCTCTATAACTTGTTTTGCAATTAGTTACTCTTTCATGTCATCACTCACTCCCACATATTATATTTTCTATTTCTATAAGCAGTTATGCCTTTTTAATCTTTAAGATGTGAAAATTGCAGCCAAAAGCTTGTTAATTGAGCTTGAGCGTCTCACCGATGAAGCAGCCCTTGCCATTGAGACTGCCACACAGTTTTCCGTACAGCTAGATAAATACTCAAGTGATGAATTGCAACAAGTAACGTGTGATGAGGTAAGATGTCGACAGAATTTGTTCTCGGGTAAACTAGCTTACATCTTTGAAAACGGTTTCACAGAAGAGTAAAGTAATGTAGTATGGATGTGTTTGATTTAGGAGAACGAGACTGCACAATTACCTCAAGGACCTGAAGTTCTAGAGTACGCTGCACTTATCGCAGTTATTTACAGTATGATGAAGCAGAACTATGCGATGCAGGTGCGCCATATGAACCCTTCTCTTCATGGTTGATCTTAAAAACCGTTAACTTACTGAAGATAAATGGATACTGTCTTTTCAGGAAAAGATTGTGAGATCGCTTAGTTTGAAGTCATCATCTGGTGAGCTAGAGAGTTACAGTCTGATGTGGTCATTGCGTCCGTTTGTAGAAGATGAGATTGTGAACAGTGCATGGAAATGGATTTACTAAAAATATTTTCATCCAATTTTTTTGAACAGAGCATGACTTTGAATTATCTTTACATAGTCATAAACCATTACTCAAGAAATACCGGAATAAGAAGTGCATACATCCCTCTCTCTCTCTCTCTCTCTCTCTCTCTCTCTCTCTCTCTCATCATGGTCGATTGGTTCTCCATAGTCTGCTGTTTGGTTGTGAATTTATGATTAGTTCAGTTACGTTGTGGTTCCGTTTACTTAGCCTAAGTAGATCATTGCCTTATTGGATCATCTAAGCTCCTGTTTGATTTCCCGCATTGGGCATGCAAATTCTTGTTTAGCGAGTGTTGTCTCTGAATTTTTCATATGGTTTTGTAGCTTGAAACAATGTTACATGTTTTCTTTTAGAATGAAAGACGAAGACAGGGAAGCGAGAATCGAACAGAAGAAGAAAATATCCGAGATTTTCAAAGATTTAATGACAGGGTAAAGTTTATTGTTTTGCTTTGATTCTCTTACTTGAAGTAGTTATATATGTAAGAGAATCAAAGCAAAACAATAAACTTTACCCTGTCATAAAATCTTTGAAAATCTCGGATATTTTCTTCTTCTGTTCGATTCTCGCTTCCCTGTCTTCGTCTTTCATTCTAAAAGAACACATGTAACATTGTTTCAAGCTACAAAACCATATGAAAAATTCAGAGACAACACTCGCTAAACAAGAATTTGCATGCCCAATGCGGGAAATCAAACAGGAGCTTAGATGATCCAATAAGGCAATGATCTACTTAGGCTAAGTAAACGGAACCACAACGTAACTGAGCTAATCATAAATTCAC